GTACTCTTACTGGACCCACTCTATTTACCACCGTACTCACATGCTCTACATATTTTGTTGTAGGAATTCTACTGTACAACCGTAATAGCTCTTTGGTTTTGGTTGCTTCCATACCTATTCTGGTTGCAAAAAAGAGTCCAATTTGTACGTAAAATGCAACAGTTTTGCAACTCCCACTAAAGAATATTCACTACCGGACTGTAAAGTATAGCCGGAGACTCAGATTTTTCTTTGTACTACTATTCAGTTCTTTGCTCACAAAATGAAGCTCCTAATAAGCAAATCAGCAAGCAACTAGCAAGCAAATGTACCATGGTAGCAGCAGCAAGAGGATCAAGGCCGCGCAAAGCAGCTCGCAAACATCAGGGGCGGATTGTGACCCCCCAACAAGGCGTGACAAATCATCAGCAATGGTGTCGGTACCAAAGAGGGAGTTTGTGCAAGCACTTGATCTAATAGGAGGAGGGATRCAAGAACTARCAACATACTGATTAATCATTTGAGATCTTTATGGGGATCCGTCGAAATTTAGTATCATTGTCGATGAGCAGCGTCAATGACCGACGTCCGTGTCTTAATTTCCTTACTACTTGTCCCCCCTTAATGCAATCGAAAAAATCATAAAAATAGTACTGTGTATATGTTAACTGTTTTGCGTTTTGCTAATAGCCTCAACAAGAGGATCATCTTAATAGCTGACAGGAGTGTCGGTATCAGTGTTGTCGGGGTGTTATCGAGGTGATTGTCATTGTCGAGAATTCTTCTCTCGAACTTTTTTTTTTCATAGAATTTCATAGAATTTGCCTTCTGCGTGACAGTGTGAGTACTCGTACTTCTCATCAATCAACCTGATACAGCACCATACTTACTCGTACTCACCGCCGCCCTCGCTCTGGCTTGGTGCATCTACGTATATTATGTACTACATCGTACATGGTTGCATTTTTGGTTGATATTCCTTTGTGTACTTGTCCGGTAAATAACTGATTGGCATCGAACACGACACAAAATCAAGGAATCAAAATACCGGTACCGGTACCTGCACAGTACGTAATTGACCGAACACAACTCCGGAACAGCAAATACTATGTCGTGAAACACATCTAACGCCGACGTAAGATTCTTTGAATAAAGAATCAAGAATCTAAAAGAAATGCTATTTGGCACCATTTRCCCGCCCGTACTTTGTACCGTCCCCTTTTTAATCTTCAACATTTTGCGTCTTCTTCTCTTCGTAGTCTCTCTCTTTCCGGGATTCCTTAGGTTTGGTTGGTATTACTTCATTTCTTCCAATCGAGTTTCGGTCAGGTATGGAAAAAAAAGTGTCAGACAAAAATTAGATGTGTACCGCTCGTGTGAAAAACTGGACAGTCAACGAGAAGTGCTGCTAAATGGAGAGCATCCCGGTTCAGCAAAGAAATTCCATTCCAATGCTCCAGTTATTGTATTCTACACCGGAGGAGCTTGGATAATCGGATACAAAATGTGGGGTGCTCTCTTGGCTAGAGCACTAACAGCCGCGGGGGTAAGCTGATTGGTGCCATCGAAGTGATAGTTCCCAAGCACACGTGTCAGATGAATGCCTCTCACTGATCCCACTCGTAATTGTGCGAAACAAGGTTGTCGTCGTSATCCCTGATCTACGCAACTATCCTCTTGTTAGTATACCGCAGATGGTCGACGACGTAGATTCAGCTCTAGATTGGACGAGCAACAATATTTCACAATATGGAGGCGACCCTACAAACATAGTTGTTGTCGGTCAATCTGCTGGCGGTCACGTTGCATGCGTGGCTCTTTTTAGAAAGATTCGAAAAAATATTGATAAAAATAATGACAATGCGAAGTCAAATGGTGAATGGATGACGTCTCATATAAAAGGATTTGCAGCAGTTTCATCCCCGCTCAATTTAGGGTCACCGCTCACTAAAAGCTTTAGACGATTGGGCTTTGACGATGTTATGGTCGATCGGATGTTTGGATTCCAGAAAGATAAATATGATCCATATTTGACGTTGGAAGAACTTCAAAACTCAGAGCTTGAGCATGAGTTCTTGAAAGCGCTCCCTCCATTTTGCATATACCAGGGCACGGACGATAAGACGGTTCCATTTGAAGTTTCCGAGTCATTTTACCGAAAACTTTCAAATACTTCGTCGAACACGAAATCTGTTTCGTTCGTTTTGTACGATGGCTGGAGCCATACCGATCCAATTTTGGAAGGGCCGATGGATGCTGACCATAGGTTACACAAAGATTTGCTTGACAATGTTAATGAGTGGACTACTGTTCCGAATTTAACTTGGCCAACGTGTCGAAGATTGAACGGTAGRTTGTGCCCTCATTTTATGGTAGAAATAAGTAGATTCATAAATCCATTCTAGTCGTTTCGCCACGTTGATTTTGTTTCTGCCAAAATAATCAACTGAGGATACATGAACGATGGAGCAGTATCCAACATGGACTTTTGGCAAATGAGGTACCATCCAGTTTTTGATTGCAACCATCTTGGTTCATTTGAATGGCAGAGAAACAATCCTCTCCACCTACATTAGAATTCAAATCCATACCACAGCATACCTATATTATCTTCTTCATCAGTCTGCATTAAGCTAGACAGCAAATCCACAACACAAAGTGTATGAAATGGTATCTAAAACACAAAATCAGASGAGCAGTTAATTCTGTAGTAAGTTGATGCTGCTTACAGTTGGGAAATTCCTGGAAAACCAGGTTTGGCATTTTTAAGATTTTCAGAGGATTTTTTTATGTCATTTCATATTTAACTGTTTTATGTTTTATTGGATGCTGTCAATTTCAGACACTTGTGGTCTTGTTGGGACCTTTCCCTCTTGTTTAAGGTAGTAGTTTATTTTTTGCGATTTCATGTTAAKGGCAGTTGTTTTCAATGGAGTCAATTTTGGAAGCATGTGATTTGTTTTGTTTAGTTTTGCTATGTAGTCTTAATATCACTGCAAGCTCCAATCCCAAGCAACTCAACCAAATTTAAGTTTGTAGCCCACAGATTTTTCCTTTCACGAACAATGCCTCAAGTATGTCCTAAATTCTTAGTTTGAAGTTTGCCCAGCATTATGTTCTACTAGCATAACTTTTCCTTTTGTAATGATGCTTTTGTTTCCAACACTTATGCCAGACAACAACAACCTAAACCCAAGCCACCTTGAATTAGTACCTACTAGTTGCTTGGTTTCTCAAGACCTGTACCCCAAAGAACAACCCCAGGAATATAGTATGCTCCAACACACTCAGTTTTAAGCTCCTCCAACAGTATCCCTCATTCTACTGTTTCTGCCCAAATTCTTTTTCTTAAAAAAAAACTTAATATTATATTTAACCTTGTGAACTAGAAGAGGCACTATATATGGCCAGAACCATAGCTTTTGTTACAAAAGAATGCTTCTAGCTGCTCCGAGGGGCAGCGCCTCCCTCCAAGGAGGTTTTGTGGAGGCGCGACCAAGGTGTATGCACTCTGACAAGCCAATTAAGGCAGGTCACTGGACTCAGAGGACATAAAACCAGTTAGTTCACAGTTTGGATGGATGAAAACTATGCCATTATCATTTCAGAGGGCACTACCAAGCCCGTAGGTTGGGGGTGCTCAATCCCCAACCCGTAGGCCAGCTCAGATGCAGTGATCAAAGAAATGTATGCCATGCACACTGCCAAGCCAATTAAGGCAAGTCGACACCACAGTGGGCAAGGACACATGGAGTCAAAAAGAAAAAATCAAAAAAAGAAAAGCCAAAAAGAAAAAGAAAAAAGGAAACATTGTACTTCTTTTGCCAAATTACAGCTGAGCCCGCCCAAAGGAGCAGGTGTTTGAGTATCTTCTTCTTGAAGAAGACACTGGAACAAATAAATCAATCAATTCTGTCACCCCTAGTCACGGGTTTWAAAACTTGGGGGTGTTGCTGTTTCAGTCTACCACATAAGACAGGAACAACAACAATTGTGACCAGAAGCAGGGGCTTCCGTTCCTTGAGAACTGGGGATGGATCCAGCTGAGGCAAAGCACTCAGCTGGAGTAACTGGGTTGGTGTTGTTGAATTCCGGCATGAAGATCGGAACCAACAACAACAACAACAACAACAACAACAACAACAACAACAACAACAACAACAACAACAACAACAACAACAACAACAACAACATCGTGACCGGAATCTTATTCCAGTCCATAAATTACTGCAACTGCATGGAGATGCTGGTGGAATCTTCTTTAGACGAGTCTGTATGATGGAGCATATACTCCAGGCATTGTCCTTCAAGGGGTCTTGGTTGAATACTGGGGGCTGGGGTTGTTGTTATTGTATTCCGGCACAAATGTTGGAAACAACAACAACCAGACCAAAATCTTCTTCCGGTCCGTAAAATACTGGAACTGCATGGAGATGCTGGGGGATCTTCTTTAAAATTGAGTATGATGTAGCTTATACTCCAGGCGTTGTTCTTCAATAGGTCTTGGTTGAATACTGGTGCTGGGRTTGTTGCTGTCCATCACGGATGCCAGAAACAACAACTTCAATAGCAAAAGATACAGTACTTCCGGAGGAACAGGGGATGGGTCCAACTGGGGCAAACTGCTATCAACACCAGCTGGGGGGTATTGATATACTTGGAATAGGAGTGGTTACATTRCTTGGGTGTTTCTTGAATTGAACCACCAGGGAGGTGGATTTYCCCCTTCGGAAGGGGATGTCACCATGGTGTTTGGATGCCCAAAGGTGCTGGTCAAGTAGGAACTATGTAGGAATCAGTAGGAAMTTTAGGTGATAATTCTCAGAACCRAAGTGTAATTTCTTGCGTTTGAAAAAAATTGATATGAAAATTATAAATTATTTTTTCTTATAATCTTATAACTTTCAAAACAAGTTTTTTCAAAGTCACCTAGATTTCCTAGTGATTCCTTCATAGTACATACCTGACCAGCGCATTTGGGCATCTGGAACCACCATGGTGACATCCCCTTCTGCACCTTCAGAAGGGGAAAGTCAAACTCCATGGACTCCATCCAAGCAATCTAACCAAGAGGGCGCTAATCACCCTGAGTTTGACAATTCCCCAGCCTTGGCTCCATGCACCAGTTCCGGTATTTAATTTTTCTACAGATTGAAAGCAGTGTCTTCTTGTCAAAATGTTGTTGTTCCTGACATTTGTGTTGGACAGCAACAACATCAACCCAAGCCCATTAAACCAATCCAACAAAGATGATGTTGGTGAGATCAGCATCATTCATTTCCAGTAATCCYGCCAGCTACTTGCAGTTTGCCTTGGCTGGATCCCCAGCTCCTTTGTGAGCTGTATCTTCCAGTCTTGAAGTTGTTGTTTCCAACACTTGTGCAAGATGGCAATAACAACAACCCCAGTCCCCAATACTCAACCAAGACTTTTCCTTCAAAGAACAACACCTGACATATATGCAACTGCATACTCAGTTTACAAAATATTCCTTGGCCTTTCCATTCACCAGTTCCAGTAATTTTCCAGAGGAGATCCAGTAGTATTTTTTGGTCACAATGTGGTTGTGTCTAACATTTGTGCTGGACAGAAACAACAGTATGATAATCATAATTCCTTCCCTGTCCCCAGCTGGTGGCAATTTGCCTTGACTTGATCTCCCCCCATTCCTCT